GAAATACAAGATATTTATATAAAATACATCAATATGAAATAGATATTTAAGATAGTAAAAAAATATAAGAAATATAAGAAAATAAAGATATTAAATATATTAAAGAAATATATGAAATTAGAGATCGCTAAGAAATTAGTGAAATCCGATAAATCAGAGAAACGGTAGAAAGTTGAGAATCGTGATCGACATGATTACCATTCGTCAATTAGGTTAGGCGCAGTATCGTGCGTCATAACAAGACTATCACTAACAACGTCACTGAACTAATGTAATTTAAGTCATGATTAAGTGATAAATTAACAAAATTTAAAGCTTAATTCTTAACTATTGTCGATAATTATCCAATTTTACTAATAAGCTTAATCTTAAAAGATAATTAGTTGATTGAGTAATAAATGAATTATAAACTTAAATATTCACTATGCCATAGACATGTCACTAACAAAGAAAAGTTAGATGAGTGTATTTTAAATTTTAAGTGATTTAATGAAAAAATACACAATTTTTATATGGAACACCCTTACAATCTAGTATGATTTTCGAATCCATGTTATCTTTATATATTACCTTAGAAATCATGATGAAATTACTTTATAAGAATTATTATAGAAAGTAAATGGGTAAAGAATTGTTTTAGGAATATTTGTATTAGAAATTACAAGATCAGTTATCTAAAATATAATTTACAAACTTTTTAATTGTAAATTTGAAAGTTGAAGCGTTGACAGTAAAATCATATTATATACTGTATATCTCATGACTTGGTTTTACTCAGTTAGACTATAACACGATCAAAATTAGTGGAGCTCCTATTGGAACTTAATAAAATTAATAATCACAAATTCGACATTGTAATTTCAACCAACGCGCTGATGTAACTAACTATCAACGTATGTCATTTGTACATCATTATTATGAAGCTATAAATATTTTTGTTTAAAGAAAACTAAAATAATTTAACAAATTTAACGCGGACATGGCCAAATTATTGCAATTTTAAATTTAGGTAATTACGGAAATAAATCATTTTAGGAACGATCACACGCGTACTAATTGGATTAATTTTATACAATCTTAAAGAAATTATAGCTTCACTTTTCTTCACCTTTCTTCATTGTTATCTCTCCTAAAAGAATAATGAAATATCAATTCCTTATTTGGGTGAACTGCCTCGTGAATTTTGTGTAAACAATTTTTACCTTTGATATTTCTGATTTTCATGCATCGTTTGTTGGTACTTCAAATGTAGAGAATGGATTAATGATGCTTCCAGTCTAGTACCTGTTCAGATGATGACGGGTACAATGCTGATGATTAACTATATATTGGAATGGATGACAGTATATTCAAGGGCTTGCACGTGGGGAAAGTGTCAATTACTTACTGTTTAAACCTGGATCAAGTAAAACAGCTTCTGCTGCTGCTTGGAAATTTATTTCAAATCAAAGTAAATCTCCAAATATTCTTTTTTTAATTGATTATATTTGAATTAATACATACACAATATCTATTAAAATTTATAAATTTCTTAATTTGCAAAATATTTGTTTACATAAGTTTTTTTTAAAATCTTTTAAAGTCCATTATACCATCGATTTTCATCGAAAAAATTAATGATTATACATATTAATAAAATATTTATTGCTTGCCCAATCTTCGAATTCGTTTTTATGCATTGAAATTGACTAATGACGTCGAAAAAATAATGACTTCGATAAATTGCCAAGAAATTTCCGAGACCGTTGGCTGGTTTGCGACAATAATTTTTTTATCACAAACTTTTGAATATAAATGTTATTACCTAACAATAATTCACAAGCGTGAATTGCTATCTTAAGGCCTTACAAACTCAAATTTCGTTTCTCATCCTGCCCAAGGTCACATTTTGCAAAATCCGAATAAAAGTAAAAAATTTGAAAAAATTATATACGTATTTTGTATTTTTTGTGAGATTATATAAAATTTCTTAGTATAAAAAGCTAAAAAACTGGATACCTTTGGTCGACTTTATATTTTAGAGTTGAACTTTTAAGTCATTTAAATCTCAAAATTTTTCAATAAACATAATTGCTTTACCTAACTCTTTCTTTAATAATCGCCATTTGTTTCATATTTTTAAAAAGAATTTAATCCATTTTAAATTTTTTTCAATAGATCATCATCCTCGTTTTCGCTGTTATGTATGGTATAGGATATGTTTAGCATGCATGACTAAGGTTAAATGTTTGTTCATGTAATTTTATCTTATAAAATATATCGAATTGTGGCTTGGAACATGTAATCACAACACTTTACAACAATGAAAATAAAATTTATTTTATTAATAATTAAAGTATGCTTTATACATTTCCACTACGCGCCTTAGATAATTTGTCGGTGGTATAAAAATTGAGTGAAATAATCCAATAACCTGTCGGTAAAATGTGAAATGAGATGAACATTGAGAAAAGTTTTTCGGCAAGATGAACTGGCCCTTAGTGAAGCAATCCGATCAATTTTACATTTAACCGATAAATCTATTTTATCAGTTTTTAATTATCATGAGAATCAAAGACTTACTGGATATTAAGAGAGATTGTTCATAATAATTCTATTATTATATAAAAGTAGTCTTTATTATATCAATATTGCAATATTTACTTTAATTTTCTTATTTTTAAATTTATAAGAAAATAAATAAACAATTGTGAACATATAAATTTTTAAAAATGTTTTTTTTTGCATATATGCGTTTAAATGAGGAGACAGCGAAATAATTTCGGTGTCAGTGAATTATTGGTTAATCGTAATGCATTAAAATTCATCTAATAAATAAATTACAATAAGTAAATCGTTATACGACAAAACATTTTATATATATAGAATCATTTACCGTCAGGAATTTCCAATTCATCTTGTTCTTCTGAATGAAGATTTGAATTATTATATGATTCATTCTCACCATCTATAAAATAAAGTATTAGTATATAAATATATTATTATACATTTAAAATGATCCTACTTACCATCATTTTCAATATTATACTTCTTTTTATGCGTTGCTTCGTTTTTAAAATTATTTTGAAGATCTGATAAGAACAAATTTCGAATAAATTGCTTTAAAATTGGTATAAAATTCTACTTACCATAATTTGAATTTATTCGTAATTTTTCAGATATTTTGGACAATTTTTTACTACAATCTAATTGTTAAATAAAAAATTTAAAGTAATTAATTTTTAATATATTAAATATTATTTGTTGATGAGGTTTTATTACTTAAATTAATAAAATCATCCACTAAATATGAGAAATAGTTAATAAATATTAATTAAATACTTAAAATATCAATACTTACTATCATTAGGAATATTAAAGTCGTATGGTTTACTATGAAATGCTTTTATGGTTAAGAAATATAATAATTTTTATTACTTAGTCTGATTGATATGTATCATTAAAAAGAGAATAATACCTTCTTGCTCTTCTGTTTTATTAATAAGGATAATATTTAAGTTATATATTGTGATAAATCATAAAAAATAATTGTTAAAATTTACCTTCTGTTGCATTCCTTGATTCAGGAAAATTTTCAAATTTATAAACTTTACTTGTAAATAATTTGCTGCTTTTATAATAAATATTTAGGTTATTAACTTCTTTAGTAGCATTTGTTTTTTGTTGAGCCAAATTAATTTTCTTAAAGAACTTTTTAATAATACTTTTTTTTTCATCCGATTCATAATATAATTTATTCATTTCAAATATTTTATGTCTAATTGCATAACTATTGGGTCTTTGTGATGGATCTGCATTACAACATTGTTCCATCAAGTCTTTATATTCTAAAGGAATACCTGATTTTATTTTTGGTCTCATTCCATTTACTATGTTCATTGCGAGGTCATAATCATTTTCATATTCATTAAATGGTGATTTCCCAAAGGAAATTTCCCACATAAGCATTGCAAAACTATAAACATCAGATGCTTTTGTATATTCTTTTCCAGTAATAACTTCAGGAGCTATATAAGGAAGATTCCCATAGATGCATTTTAATGGCTTATCAGCAGGACCATAAAATCCAAGATCACTGATGTACCAATTATCATAAATTTGTGAATATAATATGTTTCCAGAATGCAAATCCCTATGAATCGCATCTTCACTATGAACTTTGACAAGTGCATTGATGATATTAACAGTAATATGCATTTTTTCTTTCCATGTAAGTTGTTGATGAATTTGTAGATATTTTCTTAAATCTGTGTTCATTTTACCCATTACAAGAAAATATTCTTTACCAGATGGTTCTTGAGTTAAGCCATAACCCTTAACAATATTATTCCATTTACTACTAAAAGTTAAATGTGATTCCGCCTATATATAATATAAAAATTTATGGTTATACAGTATCAATTAGAAATAATGATAAAAAAAAATATACCTCTTTAAACCAACTTCTATTAGCACTTTCAACATTTTCTAACTTTTTAAGGATTACATTAACCGTACCAAATCTTTTTAATTCTCTTTTTTTAACATCCCAACTCTGATAACGTCCCTCAATCCATTCGGTCGTATAAATTTCAGAACACCCACCTTTAGTCAAATATTCAATATTCCGTAAATTATTGTATGGTATCCATTCAGCCACTTTACTTGGATTAACAGTTTCAATTTGACATTTCCGTATTAAATTATCAATATTGTCATTTCCTGACGTCCAATTTGAAAAATTTGCTTTTAAATGGTTTCGAATGCAATTTTCACAATATGTCGTTGCTAAACATTCTTGTTTGCAATGTTCACATGATCTTTTTCTTCCTACATTAAAAATAACTTTACTTTGTTCGTGTATTTCATTCAATATTCTTATTGCTTCTGATTTTTCGTCTTTTGTAAGAGATTGATCAGCAAGAATTATTTTCTTTCTAGATTCATGATATTTGTCCATATTATCATAAACAAAATTATCTGTTAATGCACATGATTTATTTAACACAGCATAAACTAATTCACGACGAATAGTAGCCATGATATGTATATTTCAAATTAATACTATTTAAAATAAGTTTCATGGAAAAAGGGGACTTTGTTCCAGATTGATCGTTGTTGCTTTTCTATATTCGGTTGTATTTTTTATGCTGTGGATGCATAAATCTATGCATAAAAAAAATGTGAAACAAACAATGATTACCTACATAAAATAAAGAAAAATGATCATATATTTAGTAGTTGGAGATAAAATGAAGTTATTCATATGATTGCTTTAAAAAATTCGCTTGATACAAAATTAAAAGTTAAGAAAGTAACCTTGAGTTGATTATATTGCTACTGAACTATAATATAATCCGGAATAAAAATTCCGAATTGTCTGAAATCTGTGTAAAATACGTATTTTTTTCATTCAGGTCAGATTATTATGTGATTATTATGAATCAATTTTAAAATTGATCCATATTCAATTTCTCATCTATATTCTTATCTATAGAAAAAAAAAATTTTAAATCATTCCAGAATATCAAAATTCATTTTAAAAATTTCAATTTCCAACTTATTCAGAAAAATACATTAGAAAAAAGGCGCTTCGAAGCAATATGCAGCTTTAGCTATAATATTATTATTCATTTCTCCAATTTGAAATATGTTATTTATGAAATTCTTTAGCTATTTAAGAATCAAATATGCATATTATCAATTTTTTTTAAGTTCTTTAAGAAATATATTTTTTTAAAAAAAAAATATTTTTATATCTTACAATCATTTAGAAATGTCAAACATATTTGCAATTTTAATTTACTGATTTAAAGAAATAATTAAGAAAATTACTGATAAAACAAATTCCAACAACATTAGTAGAAATCCAATTAATTTGGCATATTTTATATTTGGATATAACTAATATAAATGTTGATTTATAATAATTCAATATAAAATTAATATTTATTATACAATAATTTGTAAATGACAGAGTTTGCGATCTGCAGGTACTTTAGGATATTTAATTTATGATAGTAAGTTCATAATTATAAGAAGAATATAATTTTTTATAATAATTTATACATTATTAAATAAGTCGCAGTATTTTGTCTTAAAGCTGTTGTAACGTTATTTTTTTAGCAAATTAAATCAGTTTGTTAAGTACATTTAACTTTTTATTTATTGTTTTATACTCAGCAAAAGAAAATTTAAATTCTGAGACCATTTTGAGTAAGTTACGGACGAAAATTATCGTGATAATTTTTTTTATAATTATTAAATATAAAAATCGAATTGTATATTATAAATTTTACAAAATGGATTTTATAAGTTAAAAATCGATCGCTCTCCTAATAATACAAAATAAAAGACATTATTTAAAAGAATAGAAATGATCTGGTGGAATAGAAAGATTCAATGAAACGGATTTAAGTCCACGCATAGCGTAAAGAAATTAATAGAAAACCTTGACATTATTGCTATTGGTGGTTGATTGGATATTTGTGTTACTGAGTTGTTTGCCTTCCAAGCTTGATAATGACGTTAATTTACAAAATTTTATTTGAAATTCACTAATTCGAATATAAAAATATTTAGAGAAGAAATAAAAACAAATTCGTTTAAAAATAAATAAGGGATCAACTTACAAATTAATAAATTAGGGCAAATATTCAATAATATTCCAAAATACATATGTTATGTGAAAATAGTCACTATGCAATAAGTATTTTTATATTTTTATTTTTCATTCAATTGTATATAGTTGTGAAACGGAATTATTTTTAAATCCATATTAGAAAAATAATTCAGTTTCCTTCGTTTCTGGCAACAATAAGCAATAGAAGTCATACTTCTTGTTTTTTTCGCAAAGATCCAATAATAATGTACTGTACATACTGCTAATATTTTTGTGACGCCCTTCAATAAAATAAGAAACGATTTTCTCCTGAACTTTCTTTGAATCAGCACATAATGTACATCTTCAAATATGACCACTGTACCTCTTTCTGGAGAGAATTAATTCAGCTTTGGGAGGCCGGAAATCTGACTGGGATAATAGATTTTACCAGATTTATCAAAAATTTACCGGAAATACGGCTAAATTACAAGATTTTTCACGCTGACCCGTTCCCTAGTATATAATCACGTGATTTATCGCTGTATATGGAAATTTTGCATACAAGTGGCTTAGTATTCTCTCCAAACATTTTGTTTTGGGATTTCTGCCTTTCTTGCTGATTAAAAATTTTCTCAGTAAAAGATCCAGAATATTCACAGATGAACACGACTGGTCTTTGTTGGGTTTTTTATTATATCGTCAACAATGTAGTGATTTTCTGCCCAATAAAAGCGAAGAACATCATCGATATTCACTCAACCTTACAAAAATAACGAGTTGTAAAGAAACACCGGTTACATTTATTGAAACGGGCTAGCAGCATTGGGTTCAATGCAAGTTAGGTGTTTTCATATCTCATTATACCCAAGTGCAATTGGAAACTCATTCTTTAGCAGTAGACGGGTCTAAAGGGTGTATAACCCTTTGGATGGGGTTGAGGCCTGCGTTCAATCACCCAACACTCCTGGTCGAGGCCGGGAAGTGCATGAGTTGAGGCTCGTGGTGGTTCTGTCCTGTGTGAGTGATTTTTCCTACCCGGTTATAAGTGGACGGGTCTAATGGATGATCACCTTTGGATGGGGTTGAGGCCTGCGTTCAATCACCCAACACTCCTGGTTGAGGCCGGGAAGTGTATGAGTTGAGGCTCGTGGTGGTTCCGTCCTTGCAACTAAAATTGCATAAATTATGACTTGCAGTATAGTATCTGGTGAACTAGCTTTCATAAACTTAAAAATACTATATCGTTAATAGACGGAAAAGAAATCAAAGCTTGTATATGAATTCTGGAAGAATGCTACATCGGTGCAAAAGGCGGAAGTTGGAAGCTATAACTGAACACGAAGCTTTGTTGGTATGGAACTTTTGATCTGTAATATACCAAGATGTATGATATGAAAACATTAACCCTGTTCATTTCATAGGAGGAGCACGTTACAAATGCTGTGTACTCTACATCTAGACAAGGACGGATTGTACAGGAAAAGCTTACAAGACGTTTAGAGGATACGGACCTAGGTCTTCAGATAGAGGCATATAATAAATCGTGATAATGTTCAAATTCATTGTATTTTTAACTAAAACATTTTATTTTAGGACAATGAACAAAATTTCAAGCGGAAAAAAATAGAAGATTTCTTTCCCGTTTGTGTTGTTACTTCACCATAACTTCATGAAAATGAAAACACGGATCACAAAAATAAAAAATCCGCTCCATCAAGTCCTTCACAAGATGTACAAGAGAATTATATGGAAGATCCCGAATATTTTAATAAACTCGTAGATAATGTGGACTTATCTTATATTGGAGGAGAGGAAGAACCTGCACAATCACCCCCAAAGTCAGGAATTTTGTTGGGAAAAACTTGGGACACTTTTACGGTTGATGAAGTTGACATTGCAAAATGTTTTATTTCTCTTCGTAAATCCATGCTAAAAACAAGCCCTAAGGTCCAGTAAGCATTTCCTTGTATAATAATTTTGCAAATAAGTTTCGTGATGAATTCACTAATATCATCTTTCTTCTTCAAGTCCACCATACTGGGGAGTCCTTGACTTGACAGGGCAACATAAACCGACAATGAAAATGTTTTCCACGAAATGGAATGAACTGACTAATGATTTTGACTTGATGTGGGATGGAAAATGGTCAACCTTGATCAATCTGAGTACGATTTTTTTGATAATATGGAGGTAATTACAGTGTTATATGTTTTTAGTCGTTTTTTTTACTAAACAGGACTTGAAAGCTCAGCAAGCATTACTTATACTAAATGCCCATCTTATGATATTAAAGTCATATATTGAACACCTCAAACTACTGATTAACGAGGGAACTTATGGTCTGTTTTGTTGCTCCTGCCTTCAGGATGAGCCTTGATCCAAATCAAGAAATATTTCAAAAACTCTGGTAATTCTGTCTTGCATATCAGGCCAGATTTATTAATCTCAATATTTTGGAACTTCAGGTCCGAGCAACAACTAGTTGCAAGCCAGGAAAGACGTAGGCATGAGCAAGATCCCAATGATGAGCGTGTATGCGCTGGACAAAAAACCGATATTATAACAGTTTTGCCGACAGGACCAACTTTAGAAGGCCTCATTTGTGAAGTCTCGGGAGGACTTCGAGCCAAAAAAATTTGGACAGATAAGCTGAAATTAATGGTTGGAATGCGAGACATGATAAACCGAGTAATTAAAGCTCCGGATCAATCCGAAAATTTTTCGGTTCGGTTCTCGGATTATAATTCAATCCGAACCGAAAAAAATCCGAACCGAACGGATTCAATCCGAAAATTTCGGATTGATCCGAAGTATCAGTTAATAATAATAAACGCCTCCGAATTTTGGGGCATTTTTTATTAAGAAAATAACCGGTAAAAGTCGCATCCGGATTGTCGGTAGCGATTTTTAAAAATACAATAAATTCAAGCCCGAATTGTCGGAAGCGACTTGTATTAGAAAAAAATCCTAATAAAGTTGCCTCCGACAGTTCGGGTGCGACATATATTATAAAAAATAGTCACACTGAACTGTCGGTGCTAATAACGGTCGCATCCGAACTGTAGGAGGCGACTATTATTATAAAAAATAATAAAAAAGTCGCACCCGAACTGTCGGGGCGACTTTTATTAGAAAAAATGATAATAAAATCGCTTCCGACAGTTCGGCTGCGAATTATATTATTATTATAATATAATTAAAGTCGCCCCCGACACTTCGGGTGCGACTTTTTCTAATAAAGTCCACCCCGAACTGTCGGAGGCGGTTTTTATTATCGTCTCCGACAGTTCGGATGCGGCTTTTATTATTATTAAAGTCGCCTCCGACAGTTCGGATGCGGCTTTTATTGTTATTTTTTATAATTAAAGTCGCTCGAAAGTTCGGATGCGACTTTATTATCATAATTTATAATAAAAGTCGCCTCCGACAGTTCCGATTTTATTATTATTTTTTATAATAAAAGTCGCCCGACAGTTCGGATACGAATTTATTATCATTTTTTCTACAAATGTCGGAAGCGGCTTTTATTATCGCATCCGAACTTTCGGCGGTGACTTACATTAGTATTTTCTAATTAAAGTCGCATGCGTCTTTTATCATTTTTAATAAAAGTCGCCTCCGACACTTCGGTTCAACTTTTCTAATAAAGCAGTACCCGAACTGTCGGAGGCGGCTTTTATTATCGCATCCGAACTTTCGGAGGAACCTTTTATTAATATTTTTATAATAAAAGTCGCCCGACAGTTCGAATGTGACTATATTATTATTTTTTTAATAAAAGTCACCTCCGCCACTTCGGATGCGACTTTTTCTAATTAAGCCCGAACTGTCGGGGGCTGCTTTTATTATCGCATCCGAACTTTCGGAGGAAGCTTTTATTAATATTTTTTATAATAAAAGTCGCCCGTCAGTTCGGATGCGACTATATTATTATTTTTTTTAATAAAAGTCGCCTCCGACACTTCGGATGCGACTTTTTCTAATAAAACCCGAACTGTCGGAGGCTGCTTTTATATCACAACCGACAGTTCGGATGCGACTTTTATTATTATTTTTCATAATAAAAGTCGCCCGACAGTTCAGATGCGAATTTATTATCATTTTTCTAATAAAAGTCACCTCCGACACTTCGTGTGCGACATCTTGAAATAAAGTCGCGTCCAAACTGTCAGAGGCGGCTTTTATTAACTGTCAGAGGTGACATTTATTAGAAAAAATACTAATAAAAGTCGCGTCTGAACTGTCAGAGCGATTTTTATTAGTATTTAATAACCCGAAATTTCAGATTAATCTGAAAATTTTCGGATCAAATTGGATTATTCAAAAGTTTCAGATCGGTTCGGTTCGGATTGACATTTTTTGGATTTATAATTCGAACTGAATCGAACTGAAAGTACTGGATCAGATCAGATTGGCCTCTGAACTGGAATTTTTGGAGCTTTACGAGTAATGAAGACCTTTTCTGGTCTACCACCAACAGATTATATGTAAGTCAATGTATTCAGGTGTCAAGTAATTGGTGAAGACTGCTAACATTTCTTTTGTTGCAGACCTACAAATGAATCTTTATATAATGGATATTTGAATTTCATGACGAATTTCCTTGAAATACAATGAAACTCCATTAAGTCCCTCTAGAACAAAAATGTGCATAATGCAAAGGAAATTTTCAACTGCATGTGTACTCCTTTGCACACATGTGAACAATATGTCAGTTTATTATGCAAAACTGGCAATCTTTCCATTGGTCACTCTCCAGGCCGCTCAAAAACATTGGATGCGAACCAATGCTGCCATATCAGAAAAATTTTAAAGCACAATCATTTCACTACAGTAAGTGAAATGAAGGCCAAATTGGAAGAAAATAATTCTGACCCAAGGTCAGTAAACGTACAATACGTCGTGAGCTCTAAAACCTTGGATATGTTTCTGTTCTTCTAAGGAAAGTCCCTTTTTGACCCAGAAAGTGAAGGATATTCGCTTGTCTTGAACACATGATCATCTGTATTACAACTGGAAGAAAGTTGTTTTTTCTAATGAAACAATACTTCAGATATTTAGAAACACTATGAATACATGGTCTCATAATGCATAACCAGTTGCTCCCATGGTAAAGCATCCATTTAATGTTTATGTTTAGGCTGTGATTAGCATTAAAGGAAATATCAGCATTCATCTGTTTACTGAGAATTTGGATAATCATTTATACTGAAAAATATTAGATGATCATTTATATAATAATACTAATTCATTATATGGTCATTCTTGGGTCTTTCAGCAAGATAACGACCTGAAACACGTCTCACTGGATGTCTGGGATGACTTGAATAAGCATCTTCTAAGACGAATTCTTCCTTTTCCTTCTTATAGTAAGGATTTGAACCCTATCGAGAATGTGTGGTCAGTATAAAAGGGAAAAGTGGGAAAAGATCAAGAATTTAGTAGCAAAAAAAAAATATTATCTGTAACATTTTTCTTGATATAATCCAGCAGAAATGGGAAGATCTTGATGATGATGTGTTACTTAGATACATTAATAGCATGCCAAAACAGATTCAAGCATATATCAATGATGAAGGAGGTCATACAAAGTATTAGTTAAATAATGAAAAATGTGTAATTAGTATTGTTATTTTAAATAAAATAATTTTTTATTTAATATGTAAAAATTTACTTGCCATTTAAAGTTCTGTCTGTCATTCTTTTCATCAGGAACTGTATATTGATATGCCTTAGTGTCAGCCACTAATAAAATATGAAACAATCTGATCCTAAATTTACTTTGATTCAGTACAAAAATCTTCAAAGATTACAACAATATTCTTATCTGAAGAAAATTTAGTTACATCTAGAATTGCATCTGCCTTTAATGTATGAAATGTCATATTCTCCTAAAAAGATCTTGGAAATTTTATAGAAAATAATTCAAAAAGAATACTCTTTCCATTTATTTCTATAAAGAAAATAATTAATTAATTACATTTTGGCTTATAGATATACTTTCTGATAATGATTATATCATTATTTTTAATATACTGCTTCCCTTTCTTTTTCTTAAACAAATGCTGGATTTTATTTCTAAGATTAAGAATCATGTTGGTTTTTCTGCTGTCTGATCCATCGCAAATTAACAAATGAAAAGAAAATGCAGAACTGGCAGGGTAATTTATATTCTTTAATAATATATATAATACTTCATTTTTCTCATTTTGATTAGGTTTAGCATAAAATTACTATATCAAAAAAATAAGGATTTTAATGAAATACATACATTTAAAGTTTTATATTTATTCTACAGTATAATACGCAATTCTCGAAGATACTTTAAAATAACTATATATAGATCTTTAAAACCAGACATATTTTAGTTCAATGCAATTTTCTTTGCATAATTCTTTCTTGAGTTGATTCCACTCTTATTGTTTGATGAAATTATTCAGATCTTCTTTATGAAAGAATTCTATATATTTATCATGCTGTTCTCCTTGTACTTCAATTGCAAACTCTACAAACTCATAATGATAATAAGAAATGTCAAGTTGTAGCCTCATCAAATACTCTGGTATTTTTAAAAAATCAGGCTTACAATTTTCTAATGGAAGGTTCAAATGTTTTGTTAAGATTTGATAATATAGATTTTCACGTTTATACTTACTATAATACGAATACCATAAGCATTTATTCACAATATTATCAAATTTTGCATACCATTTATGTTGATTTTTACAGATTTATAATAAAGAAGATTTATTATTTTGTATTCTGTTGAAAAACACTTACCATATCGAAAGAGAGCAACTTGTTTAGCATCATCAAAAATATGTTTGGTCATACCTACACAGTATAGACACTATGTATCAAAATGTTTTATATTACTAAGTAAAGATCACCATTGATGATTATATTAATAAGTCTATAGAAGTGATGTGCTTATATTCTTGTATTTCACTGAAAGGTATTGATTCTGTCTCAATATGCAATCTTTGCAATACCATATCAGTAAATTTAATAAGACTTAATATTGCGTAAACTTATATTCTATAATATAATGAAAACTTACGAGGTTGCCATAAGATTATGTAAATTGTATATTCGTAATATTCCATAATATTATGATGTAATACTATATAATATTATGGAATGTAAACTATATGAAAGTTTACGGTATAGTACTTACGAAAATACAAGAATTTCGAAAGTTTACAATATAGTATTTCATAATATTACGGTGTAATATTCTGTAAATTTACGATAATACAAAAATTTTGAAAGTTTACGGATAGATTAACGTAATTTACAAAAATTTATAGTGTCAATTCGTTTATAATATTTATTTAAAACTTTTAGTTATGTAATATTTCGTAATTTATTGAGTTTAATATATTTAAATTTATTTATTTATATACAAATTATGCTTTATTTAAAA